TCATCAGCCCAGCCTAGCGACCGCGAGCGCAAAGCGGCGGCAGCGCGTGCGGATTGTCCGTCCCTCAGTTTGTGAGATCTGCTGCCGCGGGGTCGAGATTTTGGAGGGTACAAAAGGTATGCTGTCCCCACCAGTTCGTCAGTTGAGAGCGCCATTTGACATAGCGCCAGCTGAGATAAGGTTCGGGCCCTGGTAAACCGCTACTTGAAGAGTGATTTACATGTCTCGGGCCAGATAATTGTTCTTGGGTATGTGCCTTGACGGTATGGTCGGATGGGACCGCCAGTCATGGGGCTACCACGCCGACGATGGCTGGGTATTCCCTGACTACCGTAGCGATTATGGCCCCTACGGCCCGACGTTTGACAGGGAGTGCAGAAAACATAGCAAACAGGTTCGTGCGACCCTTGATATAACTATCTCAGCTGGAGATGTAATCGGCTGTGGCATCGATTTCAGTCAACACAAGATGTTCTATACGAAGAACGGTACCTTACTAGGTGCGTGATTCATCTCAACGCATTCGAAGCCACTTAGTACGCTGTAGGAATGGTCTCTGAGAACATTGTAGTGGACACAGACATTTGTCCCACCGTTGGTATGCGATTCGAGTCAGAGTCCAAGCCCGCCATCGGCGACAACATCCGAGTGCAAAGCGGCACCAGTTGAGTACATGTAGTGATTTGACTGGCTCGGCTTCAAGCCAGCAAGCCGGCCAAGCCAAGCCAAAGGGTACCGGCTTGAACAGGCTTTTGGCTCGGCTTGCATGTCAAGCCAGCCAAGCCAAGCCGGCAAGCCGCGGCTTTAGACAATAAACTTACTATATTTAGTACTACTGTTAGGATAATCATAAGAACTTGGTCAGCACCTATTTGCGGCAGGCAGATGGGTATGAACGAGAGCCGCCGTCGCCGACGCTCTGATGGACGATGCCGGGATGTCGCTGATGATCATTCTCGGCCGCCCGCGTGTGCCAGATAAAAACTAGCCATAGTGAGGGAGAAAATGATCAAGGCTTCCTGGGTAAATCGCTCCCGTTAGTTGTCAAGTGGCCGCCGCAGCCCTCGCGCGCTTTCGAGCGGCAAACGGCCTCCAGGTAACACAATGCAGTCTGCAGGGCGCCCGCATCTAGGTGTTGGGCAATGTGCGCGCCGGCGGACGAGTCTTGAGATAGGCATGAGATGGACCATCTCAGTGCAGCCGCACGAGAGTGCGCACGGAATGTCACGTCGCACCTCCCGCGGCTCGCGGGCACCCCTGGCACCCCCGACCGTGAGAGGTGCCTGCTGCGTCGTGTCAGACTCCGCTGTCCGCCACGCATACACGCGCCATACTCGCATATTTCATTTGGTACATCCTCTCTTTCTCCTGCTTTTCTTCTGGAGGAGGAATTGGCCCAGGATCTTGCTGAGATGACCTTGAGTGCGCAGAGGGTCTTCAGTTAGGGTTCTTGGGACCGCGATCATTTAGACAACAGCAGCATATACTTATACAGACAGCTTTGATGATGTATAATGTAAAGATGCGCCAATAATACAAGCATTGCGACAGTTTCCTGGTTTGTATGAAGTTCGAGTTTCTGAACGACTTTAGCAACGTCCACATCCATATTATACCTCAAAGTATCTATTCGGACCTTTTTACATGCAATAGAACCATTTATATGTCGTACATGACTGCGTGTCTACGTGTGGCAGCTGTAAAAATGTTGACAAAGTCAATCCACAGCACCTGCCTAATCAGGATGCAAGCCGCGGCCCAAGCCAAAGCCGAGCCACTGGCTTATGGCTTGTGGCGGCTTGCGGCTTGGCTTGGGTTTTTGCAAGCCGAAGCCTGGCGAAGCCAAGCCAAAGCCATCGGCTTCTGGGCCAAGCCGAGCCAGTCAAATCACTAAGTACATGGCGTCATGCATGCCATAGTTGGTCCTGGGCATTTCAGCGAACTGTTCGCGTAGTGTGGCGACTACACGCATTATCATATAATATAAAGTAAGATCTGAACTGCTTGAAACTTGAGATCATTAGTGGTTTGTGCAGGGCGGATCAAATTGATGCACCGGCGGCATTGGCCACTTCCGAGTCAGTGCACAACTCCACTCGTTCTGCACGGGCGCCAGCCAAGGGTTCAGGCCTTCAGGCCGTAATGGTCAATAACCTCTCTTACCTCTTGCCATTACACGCATGTTAATGCAACTCACAATCGTGCAAACGTCCTCAAGCTTCGTCCGCCCGCGAAGAGCATTCGATTTGCTATGCCGTAATTCCCAACCGCTCCCAGCGCCGTCAACTTCATAGAGTACCACATGTCCGCGGGGGCTTCCGTTGGAGACAACGATTCCAATGTGATACGAGCGGGGTACACTTAGGTCGTTGCTTTTGCGATCTAAGGTGAGAAAAACAGCCGCAGAAGCTTCTGGGTTCAAATTACTAGAGAATAGCGGACAGCCCCGGCTCCTCAAAGCTGAACATAGCATGCAGCGGCCGCTCGGAGGTGGACAGATGAACGCGCCTCGAACGCCGCGGGCGGTGGATGGCTTCCGTAATCTCTCAAAACCCATCTACGTGCACAGACATCACTGTAACCGTAGAGGTAGATACACGTAGCCAGAGAGACGATGCCTGTCTCATCCAGCCTGAGGAACCAGGAAGATAGTACAAAGCGCGAACTACAGAATGTAAATACGAACCGATTAACTGTCGATTGACTACTTGCATGACGTGAACTTTGTGGCACTGGACATAATCGCCTTGTATTCGCTCTCAGACTTTCAGCAGTATATCACGATCAAACTTGGCACGCATAGCATTGACTTTGGTCGCTTCAAGAGTAGGTATCGAACCTGTAGTGTATCAGCGCCCTGCTAGTTCGTGCTGGCTTTCCACGCATTGTAGTACACTTCCAGGTTATCAACTAGACCTGCCTTGCGCGGTTGCCAGCCCAACAGGTTCCGCGCCAAGTACGGACGCAAGAGTGAGGTTGTAGTCAGCGCGGTCTCGTACACTGCGTTAGATGCTCATGAGTCCTTACAAAGCACCGGAAGAGGTGGGTATACTCACAGTTACTCGGCTGTACAAACTCGTGCGGCCCTTGCGCTCCACTGACCTGGACAAATTTCTTCAGCAGATCGTCTGCGCTCTCCGTTATGTCGTTTGCCGCGTCGAAAATTTTCCCGCCAACAAGCTGCGCCTTCTCTGCCGCGAGACGGAACAGCTCCGCCAAGTCGTCTGTATGGATCAGCGCATAGCGGTCCTCAGGTGTCCCAAACCACCTGACACTGCCCTCTGCGGCGTTCTTGAAGAGTGGCGCCAGCAGCGAGCCGCTCCGTCCGTAGAGTAGGGCTGGTCGGATTACAATTCCGTTGAGCACCGTGTTCATGACGACGCGCTGCTCCTGCTCGGGACGCCACGCTACAAGCTGTGCAGGCGCAGTGATCGGTGACGTGTCGGTTTTGACCGTTGTGCGGTCGTCACCGTGCACCCACGTCCCAGACGTGTAGATATATGTCAGCTTTGGCGCGTGGGCAGGGCGGGAGGCTTGCGCGGCGGACGCGATAGTATTGAGCAGGGATTTAGAGAGTTCTCTAATGTCGGCCGTTCCTCCAACAGCGTCGATGATAATGTCAAGTGAGGCGACAAGAGGCAGCCAGGTGGACGGATCTGACGTTTGACCCACGACGGGAATAACTAGGAGTAAGAGTCAATACATGTGCGACGCAAAATTAGCTACCTGCGACTCACTTTCTTCCTCGGCAAGTTGCTGAGCTTTCTCTTTGGAGCGCGTTAGACCATACACGATATGGCCTGCACGGACAAGAGCTTGTGCTGCAGGGAGGCCAATGAAGCCGGAGGCACTGTATGGCTGTGAGTACGACTACTTCATCTGAATGAAAGATTTTATGTACCCAAGAACAAGAACTTTCATTTCTATGGCGTGCGTTAAGTTTAGTTGTACCGGAGCAGGGGGACCTGAGAACAAGGACAGGCCGTTCGTGACATGCCCCTTATATATCCTGCTGGTTTGCGAGCCTTACTGCCTAGGACAGTGCCGATGCGCTTCGTATGTGTCTGCTATCCTCATCGACGCGCTTCCAATGTATCTGCTATCCGCGTCGGTTATCGAGCGCAAACCCACCCACCTCCGTAGACCAGCGTGTGGGCAGTGGCACTGGGCACTTGGAAATCAACGGTCTACGAACCTGCGATGTTTGCTGAACACATGTCGTCGCAGTGCTTTCTAAGGTGCGGTGCTCGTTACGCAAAATATATGGGCGTATGTCTCACCCTTGCTAAGCTTGACCCACTCTGCGTTCCGCCATGCGCGTCAAATCCCAGCAATGAGAGAGACGATGGGGCCGCCAGGGTAGGTGCTACTTACTGATCTGATGTATTATAACCTGTGGGCACTAGGGAGTCTTTCACGGCGGAGCCGGAGATCACTGACGCGCCTGCCTTCTGAGTCTTCTACTCTGTACCGCTCAACCTTCCGCCTTTTCGCCCGCCCGAGATTAACTGAAGCATTGCAGTTGACTGCTTGACCTCATAGTAGACGTGTTTGCGGTGCCTAGTCCTCAGAAAGCCCTGGAAGAGTTGCGCGAATTTTAGGTATGATTTGGTCGTTGCAATTGCGTAATGAGGTGTTTACCAAAAAGAAATTACACATAAGCTAAACAGCTGGAGCCTTGGCAATGGGTGAGTGACCGTGAGAACGTGATCATGATCAATAAACAAAAAGTGTGTGAACTACGCAGAAGATAGCAACTGCTGGTTTCGATCCAGCGACCTCGGGGTTATGAGCCCCGCGCGCTACCCCTGCGCCAAGTTGCTCCGGATAATAGGTGTTAATGGAATAGATAATCCATTCATTATATCAGCTATCTCTCAAACACGCGGTCCCTAATTGGTCGCCAACTTTAGTAAGCAGTGCTCGGAAAGTGCATTAGTTCGCCCGCCGACGTCCGACAGACCTTGCTCATCGACCACAACGACCGCCATGGTTTCCCTCGCTACTCGGATACTTGGAGCTCATCTTACCTCACGTCTGCTAGCCTCACAGATGTCTTCGCACACGCATCTTCTCATGCCGATACACCGCCATGCCATGATGTCTGCGTACTCGCCCGGCTCCTCATCCACCGTACCGATTCCCCCTCGCCCCTCCGGATCTGTGCTTGGAGAACAGCCACCTGTCGTCTCACCTGCTAGAACACCATCTGCGAAGGATTTTTCCCCAGATGCCTCATCTCCGCAAATTGCGGCTCGTCCCCCGCCGGCTCCCAAAGCGGAGAGGCCAAGACCGAAGATCCGGGCGACCAAAGCGGCAATAGCTCTTGTGCGTGTTACCTCTCTCTCGGAGCATGCACATCTCACATCTTGGCAGACGCCAACAGCCGTAGAGCGGCTGAAGGCACTCGTGAATAGCCCGACGGCGCAGTATCTGCGAATAGGTGTCCGGAATAAGGGCTGTGCAGGACTGTCATACCACCTAGAATACGTGGACAAGCCGGGGAAATTCGACGAAGTTGTAGAGCAGGACGGCGTCAAGGTGCTCATAGACAGCAAGGCTCTTTTTTCTATCATCGGAAGTGAGATGGATTGGAAGGAGGATGCGCTAAGGTGCGTGAAATGTCTGTGCCCAACGCTCACTTACTCATTCCGCGGCTATGTTCACAGCGCCAAGTTCGCCTTCAAGAATCCTAATATCAAGGATGCATGTGGATGTGGTGAATCATTCACCGTCGGACATTAATTCTGAGAACGCTCTTCGACACGATGTTTGATTTCCTTTCATGTCGTACTCATACGTTACTAATTGTCCATCTCAATGTATCGATATCCTCTGCACTTCAGGACCAATAGATCCATCTCCCCTCGTGCTGTGAGTGTGCCATGCTTACCCTCATAGGCTACGATGTTTCCGTTGGGCTCCAGCACATAAGTCCAGCCCCTTGAGTACAGATTCAATAAATATCTATGTCTGGAAATTCCGCCTTATATCGTTTCCATGCCATCTTCGAGCACCCCTACAACATCGCACACGGCGAGAAAGCACGAGTAACACGCGTTTGTGGCGCATTATCGGGAAATCATAATCTCGTAGCTTCATGCAGATCCCAGCGGAGGTGCGGTTCATGGTGTATAATTCGCAGGCTCCTAAGAACGCACACAGCATGCATGTTTGTAAGGCGTAGCAGTAGTACAGGACAGCTGCTAGATTACGACAAGTCGTCTCCCATGTGAATGTCTGAATCTTGCACAGCTCTTGACTGATCTAGGAGATACGACAGAGTTGAACTGTTTTCATCGCACCTAAAAGAAATCCTCAGCTCATCTGATACCATACCCCAGGCAAGCTCTACTCACAGCCTGTTGACGGACCGCTCGGCATCCATCAATCCCTTCTGTACCAGCCGGAAGACGCTAGCGTACTCTCCCGAACGGTCACGTAGGTGTCGGCCGTGGGCATGCAGAAGTGCATTCACCCACATGAGGTCAAACTCTAGGTGCGGACTCTTCTCGAGATGTTCGGCGACGAAGCGCAGCATCTGCGAGAGATACACCACGGGCAGCTGCCGCGCCATGAGACGGATGTCGTCTCTCGGTATGCTCTCATACACTTTGTGAATGAGGGGCTTCTCGTTCAAGCGGTACGCCATTACGAGCGCTTTCAGATACTCGCGCCGTGCGAGCACGGAGAGCAACGACTGCGGCGTGAGATCGAGGTCGAGGTCGAAGGGGTCGAACGCGAGCGAGTCGTCGATCGAGTAGATAAGGAGCCCTTCCGTCGACGCGGCGGCCCATGCGCGTCCTGTGGGCGCGAAACGCACGCACTTCGTCCGCGCCTCCTGGCGGTACCGCCGTTTCGACATGTCGCCCCGCGTGACGCCTGGCAGGCTCACGTCCATCCGGTCCTCGAGGTCGCTGTCGTCTCGGTCATCGATAAAATCGGTGTTGCCCGCCTCAGTCATATTCCTGCTGTCGAGGAACTCCTCCGTGCCGTCGAGACTGAGGTTCTGCGAGATCTGGAACTTCTTGACCATGACGCCATCGAGGGCGTCGTAGATGGCGACATACTTGCTATTCCCGCCCGCAAGGAGGCACCGGCCATCGGCGCTGTACGTGAGGCTGCTAAAGTACTTGCTCGACGAGTTGTTCGCCGCCGTGACGCGGTCGTCGGCCTTGCGCCCGCCGGAGATGTCCCGCCGCCCCTCGATGACGCCCGTCTGCTTGCCTTGGTCGACATCGAAGAACATGATCTGCCCATCGAGCATGGAGACGGCGATCTCCTTGCCGTCTGGCCGGTAGGCGAGTGCGAGTGCGTCCGCGCTGAGCTGGTACGGCTCGACGTTGTGCGAGCGAGCGTAAACATTCCACACTCGGGCGGTCTTGTCCCACGAGCCGCTGGCAAGCAGGTTGCCCGTCGGTGAGAATGCGAGAGACGAGACAGGACCCTCGTGGCTAGCAAGCACGTCGAGAAGCTTCCCGGTCTGGACCGACCAGAGAAAGATCTCGAACGAGTCGGACGAGCCGGCGGCGACCACTTCACCACTCGGGTCGACCGCTAAGCATGAGAACTGGACAGGTGTCGGAGAGGTGAATGTACGAAAGTTCCGGTAGCGAATAAGGTCAAATGCACGGACGGTACCATCAAGAGATGCAGAGAATAGCACCTGGCCTTGTTTTGCGAACTCGACAGCCGAGATGGCCGCGGAGTGCTCGGAAAATGTGACAAAACAGAAGCCAGAGACCGTGTTCCAGACCTTGACCTTGCCGTCGTCCCCGCCTGTTGCGACGTTCTGCCCGTCAGGAGCATACGAGAGCGTGTTCATGTCAAAATAGTGGCCCTGCTGCTTGAGCACATATGATTCGGACTGCCACTCCCAGACGAGCAGCTGCCCAAGTTTCCGCGCGCCGAACGCCAACCACTCTCCCGACGGGTTGATCGCAACGGACGAGATCTTTTCTTGCGAGATGCTCAGTGTGTGGATGTTGGCGAACGCTGGCATCTCCCAGATGCCGAAGACACCAGTAGAGAAGCCGATGATGAGCAAGTTTGATGGTCGATGGAAGGCGCTGCAGACCACTTTCGTGTTCGCTTGATGGAAGTAATTGCGCTTGTGAACTCCCCATCGCGTGTGCACTATCAGTTTTGAGACGTGCCCTGGGTCTGAAGAGGTAGATGCCATTGGCATTTCATCTTCTGTGTCCGACTCCGACTCGGTCGCCTTGGCCTTCCAAGTGAAAACAGCACCATCTCGACTAACAGTATGGATCTGCGACATGCGTTAGAGACACTTACAAGCATGAGTCGGGAGACGCACTGTCTTGCAATCGGAAGAGAAGTAAGCATCAATAACTGCATCGCGGTGTCCGGCGAAGGTTTTTGGTCGGAATCCCTCCACAGGATCCAGTGTAAACAGCCGTGCGGTCATGTCTCGTGAAGCTGTTAAGAAAGATCTGGAGCCCGTGAGCATTTCAAGTCTCAAGTGCGACAGTGAGGACAAACTTTGAATCTGGTGCCCATTCTATACTGAGGACCTCATCGTGGTGACCGGTATATGTGCGATGAAGGTTGAACGGAGCAAACTCTCGAATGAGGTGGTTAGGTGTCCTCCAGACTTGCACATGTGAGTCGTGAGAGACTGCAATGAACCTAGAGACAGACAGGTTGGATTCCGCTAGCAGCCTGATAGTCTGGCGAATGCACGCACTTGCCGTCTGGGGAGAACTTGATAGCGTTTACTGGCTTTTTGAAGTTATGGTGGTGTAATACTACGGATCTTCGGACATTGACCAGTAAAGCACGGCCGTCTATTCGAAATGAGTACAAACCTGGAGAATACTTTCACGTGAGCGTACCTTCGTCCACGCTTATCATCACATTAGAGTCAGAGCTCAGAGCTATTGCAGCAATGTTCTTGCGGTTCTCAAACGGGAATGTCCATGACTTGTTGCTGCGCCCATGAACATCGCTCGATGCTTCGACAAGAACAGTAATACTCACTTCACGAGGTCAAACGCAGACACCCGGTTGCCGACGGGACTGAATACGGTGTTGCCATCCGAGGTAAAAATAATATTTCCTTGTCTGTACACCGTGCCACAGAGATTGGAGAACTGGAGAACCCGGTCAGCATACCTCCGTAAAGTAGACCTTATAGCGAAGCACCTTATAGTTTGCCTTCATTCTTCCTATCTAGTTCAGAAGAAGGCAAAATGGCTGACGGACGTCCCGAGTAACTGTTCAAATTATCGGCGTAATGTAGGCGTGTGTAGGCCGAGCAGTGATCACTAGTGAGGTTCAGAGACAAGCTCGCAGGGCGGCAAAAGCTGTGGACGCAAAACTGCGAGCCCATGTAAATCACGTGGATTATCCAAATTGGGAAGCCAATGGCTTGAGATCCTAACGACGACAAACAAACTGTCCGGGGGGTCAGCGTAACATGCAGCGGATTAGATATATTCGCATTCAAAATAATTGTCACTGAACCTACGGCCGGATAGACGAGATGGAAATTTTATTTTGATTGTTGTTCGAGCATTAGTCCAGCGACTGCCAGATTTCTACTGGACAGAAATCTTGCCGGCAGGCGCTTACGACAGGGCTTGCGCGAGTCCGGGTACAAGCGAGAATTGAACGAATTTTACTTAGATACCACTGAAATTGGAGCGAGTCTCACGTTATCAGGATTGCACTGGTCGCTTCCAGGACACTGTCTATCCCCGGGGGGGGGGGGGGTTGATGTTCCACCATATCGAGCGTGTGAGGACAATCGATATATAATAAAATGCTTGCTGTAATCACTTCTACGTGTTGGTAGTCAATGTCTTGCATATGAGATATGACGACATATGGCTATAGTAGCTAAGGTAGGCCTCATGCAAAACCGACTACTCCACATGTCCGTGACCCGCTGGTGACTTTAACTGACAGAGTGTGACCGATGCCGGACATCTCACTGTGGGTCGTCACGAAAGCGTGATGTAATTAGCCTTACTTAACTGACCAGTAAACACAACACTTTCGAAACTCTTCTCTCCAGAATCACATTTTCGCAAAAGTGTTCCCCGTTTTCTCTCTGCAGTCCTCATAGCTACAAAAAATGGGGAGCTTTTTTTTCTATGATTTTTCTCCAGAGAGGAGTTTGCCTGTCTTTCTGCTTTCGTCACGCTTTCTCCGCCAAACCGCTTCCAGACGCCCTAAAGCGTGACATTATTTGCCACGCGGAGTGGTCGGTTTTGCACGAGGCCTACCTTACAAAGAAAGTGTATCCCCAACGGTATCCCCAACGGGTCGAGCTTTGCACACATGGTAACCACCCAGGTTACTACCTGTTACTACCACTCTATTAACGTGTGGGAAACGTTCTAGAGGCTTCGCACAGCTTCGCCGATGTGTCCTGCGCACATGAAGTTCCCAGCGTCCGCACCACTGTGCCTGGACGTCCCTGATCCGGATGATTGAGATGTCGATCAGAGTTTGTTCCCAGGTACGTTTTCAGAGAGAAGCCTATGTGGGTCTAGACCGGGTTACGATAAGGTAGCTGCCGCCGAAACATTCCAACGAGCTATCGGCCAGAGACATGTTCACAACTGGCCTACAAACATAGAACAGTGGGGTGTGAAGTTATCACTTCAAGGTACGGGTGTAACGTCAGTCCTTGCGTCATAGATGTCTACAGCATGCATATAAGCGGTGCTCTGCATCTTCGGAAGTTGAGCGCACCCATCTTCAAGTAGTGTAGTCCTTTGCAGGTAACGCGATGGATGTGCGACGTCGACAGGCATGGCGACAAGCATGCGGCCGTCAGGGCGTCAGCATACGTCATAGCTGAGACATGGGACGCAAGGCCTCAAGGCCTCGGCTGCCCTAGAGACGGAACTAACAGAAAAACTTAGCCTATGACTTGCGGCAGCGAAGTAACAAAGCGTCCGCCGCTGTTACCTAGGGCCGTGCACGCCCTGCCAGCTGTGGCACGGGACGGCATTTCATTTGTGAAAGTTCCACGTCGGTGTTTCATGCTTACTGAACAATACGTAGGTGGGGCGTAAGTTTTCCCGATGTACCCACATCGCTCCAAGTACTTTTTACAGCCGATTATTGTACTCAGAGGCAGCCCCCTGTGTTGTCGAGCACAGAGCGGGGTCGCTGTCGAGGAAAGAAAAAGATCTTGAGTTGGCGACAGCCTGATCTGATAAGTCCCAAAAGGGAATGGTACAGCTAATGAGCTCAGGGTAATTTTATGACGTCACCGGGATCTGGACCAGAATGTGGGCGTCTGCTGATGAAGGTGGGGGAAAATGACGGAAAATAGCGAGTTTATTTCTTTGACCCGCCATGGACTTTTTCACAGCGACGAGGGAACGCACCGCTGCCGCTGTCCCCGTTGCCACCGCCGCCGCTGGTCACGGCGTGGTCGACGGTGGCCGCGAGCCGACGACAACAATGGACACCACCACCCCCGAGGGCGTCGACGCTTTCGCAGAGGCCATCAACGCCAGGTATTCGCGTGCGGGGACGTCGCTCATCCCACTTTCCCCAAACCAAGACGGCTCCACCACCCCTTACCTTCCCGCTCCTTCGCCAGGGCCCGTCAGACCTACTCTACCTCAACAGTTTACTATCACCATGCCTCTCAGGGCAGCTGCACCGTCTCCCGCGTCTGTCTTATCTCTCCACCCGCCCCCGCCGCCCCATCGCCCGTCGCCGCTGGCAACCATGAACTCCCCACCTGCTCCACCTGCTCAGGCGGACACCAGTCCGTCATTCAGCAGTTCACAGAACCTCCCGACACCCTCCTCTTCATTCCAGTCGCTCCCGCCGAGTGCTTTTACCGCCCTGTCACCTAATGCCCTCCAACCCGTCCTTGAAAACTCATCGATCCTCATCCTCGACATTCGTCCCCACAATGTATACGCAGTCGCTCGACTACCAGCAGCCCTCTCCTTGAGTGTACCATCGACGCTGCTCAAACGGCCACTCTTCTCGCTTGATCGCCTCGCTCAGATGCTCTCTCCATCCACACGAACAAGGTTCTCCTCCTGGCCCACAGCCAGCAAAATCCTTGTCTACGACGCTGACACTGTGAGCCTGGCCGAAGGTGGGAATATTCTTGGCCTGTTGAGGAAGCTCAGGAAGGAAGGTTATAGCGGTCAGCTGTGTTGGGCCAAGGGTGGATTCAAGGCGGTCTGGAGAGAGCAGTTCGATCTCGTTGATCAGACAGCTCTCCCAGAGGAGGAGGACGAGGAAGGTGAGCTCCCACCCCATACGGCACCAGGAGCAGCGACGCAGGCGCAGCAATCTGCTGTCAGCCTATCCGCCGGAGTGGAAATGTCCAAAACCATGTCAGCTCCACCGACCACGGCTGGCTTCCCGCTGAGTTTGCCACCGTCGATGCTGCTCCGGCCGAAGGACCTTCCAATGTCAGCATTCACTTCAACGTCAACGACCTCAACGCGACCACACCGATCCGGTGAGCCCTCGGTTCCTTCATCAACGAATGCGGAATACACTCACCATGGTCGTCACCCAGGCGCCAACGCACCGCTTGTACCCGTGACACCTCTGACGATCAAAGCCGATCCATTCGCGACGCTAGTCACCTCTGGTGCTACACCGGGATCGATGCCTCTGCCTGGTACTGTGTCAAGACCAAACGCCGCTAAACAATCATCCTCATTTCGTCTCCCTGCAGGCGCTATGCGAGGGTCGTCGGCAGCCGCGACGTCGATGATTCCGGAGGGCGAGAGCCTTCTTGCATTCCCTCCGCGGTTGGGTACATTATCCAGTGGCGGACCTTTGGCTAGAGGTATGGAAACAGTAAGCAGTCTGCCGACGCAGGGCGCTGGCGCCGCGTATGGCCTGGCGCCCCGCGAGCGTCAACATCACAAGAGTTTCCCGGGCCTCACCACGGGTCAGCAAAGTGTACGTACCCCTCTCATGTGTGACTATCAGATATTTACGCGATTTGTCGATAGGTCGCTTTCAACCCATTTTTCGATACGATCCGTCAAAACCTCGAGCTCGGTGGAGGTCGTGGTGCAGGCGAAGGCATCCCGCTCAAGCTGTCGCGACGAGTGCGTAGGAGGATCGGTGACTTGCCATTCGAGTGGCTGCGCGAAATTGCTCGGCGAAGTGGGCACGTCAGCGAGGATAGTCCGGATCTGGAAAAGGTCGAGTTCACCGCGACTAGGTCGTTGGCAAACAGCCCTACTGACACGACGCAGTCTGAGACTGACAGCGATGATGACAACATGACCACCACCCACCGTCAACGCCGCGCCCGTACGAAGACAAAGCCCTCCGGCCTCCAGGGCCGCGACGATTCCCCCGCAACTCCCTCTTCCCCCGCGTCGTCTTCCTCCGACGGCGAAGAACTCGCCAAGTCTCTCGCCATGCAGTTCTACAAGATCGAGCTCGGCGAGCAGCGCCGTTTGATGGGCGTTATGGAACATCACAGCATGGAGAGCGGGCATGTCAACGGACGCGGTGGCATGCAACCAATGGTGAAGTCCGCGACCGTTGGCGGCTTCACGACGGATAGAAAGGGCATCCCGTCGGGAGGCTTGTGCGGCCCAGTGCTTGCACTGCCTGTCGGTTCGCCGGCTGCGAGAAGCGAGAGTACGGAAAAGGCAGGCAGTGATAGACAGATAGGCACAGCTACAACGCGCATGTTGAGTGGAACAACCAGCGAGGGTGGGGTACACGTGCCGAGGAATGCCAAGGACCGTGGGATGGCGTTCCCGTTCAGCATAACCGCAGGTGTAGAGAAGGGAGGCAAGAATAGGTGCGTCACGCCTCATTAAATGCGCCGTCATTTCCACGTTGATTAACGTCGGTGTATGCGCGCAGATATCGGAACATATGGCCCTTCGAGCATGCCCGTGTGCGCCTTCACAAATCGCATCCCGAGGATGACGACTACATGAATGCGAGCTACGTGCAACCTCTGGGAACCAAGAAACGATACATCGCCACTCAAGGGCCTTTGCCTGCTACGTTCACGGACTTCTGGACGTGAGTTGTTCACTGGTTGTGTTTCGATCTGTCGCTGATCAGCGAGTATATGCACTCTTTAATAGGTTATGTTGGCAAGAGAACGTTCGTGTCGTCGTCATGCTCACCCGCGAAGTCGAGTCTGCGCTTGTGAAGTGCGGCAATTACTGGAAAGAGGGCGAGTACGGTTCACTGCGACTCAAGCTCGTCTCGACCAGCGATACGCCAGAGCGTGAGCGCAGCCGTCGCGAGAGCGAGACGTCCTCTGGCTTCTTCAATGTACCGCAAGCTCGATCAGCGGCTAAAGACAGTCAGGAGAACCATACTATCCGCCGGGTCTTCGAACTTACGCACGCTGGCTACCCCGACGCACCACCGAGGACGGTCACGCAGCTGCAGTACCTCGATTGGCCCGATCTTGATGTGCCGAAAGATCCACGCGGACTTCTCCGACTTATGCAAGAGGTCGACAGCATTGCCAACAAGAGCAGAGAAAGTTGTTCAACTGCCTGGGGCGAGGGCCCGTTGGGCCGCAGGCCTGGCGCAAAGAAGCCCAGTAGCCCGGAAGCTGCGAGGCATCTTTCGCTGCATGAGGACTCTCAAGACGGGAGCGAAGACGGCGATGACGACCTGGACGCCAAAACTGGCATCGCGAAGCATGCGATCGATAACCCTCCTGTATTGCTGCACTGTTCTGCCGGAGTGGGCCGCACCGGCGGATTCATCGCTGTCGACGCGATCCTCGATGGGGTTCGTCGAGAGATGCGCAAACAACGCGAGGAGAAAGAGGCACTTGACAAGCTGTCGTCCGGCACGGGCAGTCCTATTCCTTCCACCGGCCGCGGCAGCTCGACCCCCATATCTGGAGACAGCGACGAGGCCATGGAAGTCGATTTGCGATCGCTTGTGAGCACGTCCCCGTCGAGGAAGGACGTTCCGTCACCGGGCACAAGCGACCGCCGGGCCATGTCGGTCTCTGTCGGCGGCGGAAACAATTTACTGTCAGCGGTCAGCTCCGATCCCTACGAACCCATGGACGTTGACGTCGAGACGTCCGTGAAATGTGCGCAGACCTCACCGGAGAGTCGTCAGGTCTTACAACCTTCTACGGATCTGATCGACGAAGTGCGGCGTGCGCACCTCCAGCGCTTGTCATCTTCTCAGACGGTGCAAAGCCGCGACTTTGTCGACTCGCCATCGCCGGGCAGCATTCCATCGCCTGGGCCCCATGTCCTGTCGCCTCGTGGTAACAGCCCTGACACCGGGAGCAGCGGCAGCTTGACATCCTCTGGTCGACGGTCGACGTCGACGTCGGGTCTCACGGCAGAGTTGAGGATGGTGACTAGTCCGGTGTCGAGTCCTGCGACAGGAAGCACAACTAGCTTGCTTACAACTTTGGAGCCGACCGAACCCCGCGACGAGCTCAAACAGTTCCCCTCGAGCGAGTCGACGTCCGCTACTGCAGGCTCGACTCAGCCGATCGCGATCCAAGCTGTTCATCGCAGCTTTGAAGAGAAGACTCAGCGCGTTTCGGGGAAGGCACGGCTCGACTCCTGGAGATCTCATGTGTCAGACTCTGGCAGACATCACACCACCGACTTCCAGCTTAGCTTGCAGAAGCTCGAAGATGAAGACATGCCTCCAACCCCGAGAACGATGGCGTTCGACTACGCCTCACCGCGACCCCTCCATGACGATACATCCCCACTGCTGCTGTCGACATGTGACGAGCCCATCCACCGTGTCATCGAAGATATGCGCATGCAGAGGATGAGTCTGTGCCAGAGCTTGCGGCAGTACGTCTTCGTGCACCGGGCGATTATCGAGGGCGCACTGATGGTCGTGGATGAGGAGAGGAAGAGGGAGGAGGAAGATCGGCTAGCTGCAGAGCAAGAGGCTGCGTCTAAAGACCCCGGCGCAAACGCGGCTTCTGAGGCGCGCACGGCGCAGATATCGAATATCCAGTTTCCCAAGGTTCAAAGTCTCACTGCGCGGCGGGCTTCCTTTGCGCTGAGCCCCGACAGGTCCAAAGACCGCACGGCGGTAGCCCTGCACCAGCCTGTCCCCCGCGCGGTGCCGACAGTGGACGTACACATGGACGACGAGTCGCTTCTCCAACTGCCGCCGGCAGTTCCGTCCCCACGCTCGAAACGGCAGGCTAGCCCGACGGAGCTTGTGCAGGAGACTCTCAAGGGCGAGGCACGTCTAAATAAAAGGCCGAGTGTGAAACGCAGGACTCGGTCGTCTGATGAAGAAGACGGCGGCCTGATGCTGGGTTCCATGGTCCTTTCGTCGCCCGAGCCGCCTAACAGGCCGTAGTCGCCGTCTCAAGGCAACCGTTCCCGAGCTCCGCTTCTCTATGCCCCCATGTCACTTTTGTCCTTCGCCGGTCGCATATGCTTGCATTTTGCATTTTTCACTGCTGGACATTGGAGCATCTTCCTCAGCGTCGTTCATCATCTCCCCCTTTCTGTATAACACACTTGGAGCTTTTTGTGCCTCGTCCCTTTCGTGTCTTTGGATATCCCTGTTTAGTCTTTATGTTTTATTTTCTCGTCTCGACTCATATAGTATTAGGCACCGTACTCCACTCATCATCACTCTCCATGCCGGGTCCGAGTACCTGCACCAAACCATCGTCGCCCATAATCTATACAGGCCATACGTACATATACACCCCCATATCCACTGCAATCGACATGATTTGTTTGTAGTTTGCTTATCATTAGCTACTGTCTCCCGTCCCCCCTGGAATATCAGATTATTGCTCTCCGCTCGCCGTGGTTCGCATTCGACGTGTAGTAAGGGTGCGAGTAGCTCCGGACGGTCGGCACGAGAAGCCTCAGTGAAACACACCAGCTGCCAGGGCGCAAGATGAACTGAACCCGCAACGAGATTAGGTCCGCGGGATGGTTTACGTACAGCCGAGTCGCGGCGGGACCAGGACCGTCTGGTGCACTGTCGCAAAGGCCAGATGCCGTTCAGTCGCTTGGAAGCCAGTGTGGTAAGTTTGCAGAGCAAGCAAGTGAGCTTGCGAAATGACACGCCACCATGCAGGTGATTGCCTTTTCGGAGGTACGCCCGCAGACGTGTGTGCATCAGGAAATAGAATAGGGTACAGTTTTCTGAAGCAGGCCTAGACACACTTCCGGAAAGCTATCGCGCAGCCATCTGAAAGGAAACCTTTAGCCACAAGTATGCCCTTCCAAGCAGTCGCGGCATCACACCGATATCACAGAAGCTCTTCTAGCGGGCTTTCCGATGTGCTTGAATGCGCAGATGCACGTCGTGACAACAACGCTATCTATTGTGAACTGCCGCAGCGATTCCACCCCGTGTAGCTGGACGCAGTGATCAGCCCACAGTTTGTTCGTGTGATGCCACAGAAGAGAGCGGAATCACTTATGAGGACGCCTAGTTATAGGTGACATGAAAGGCGCGCCGGACGCTATGCTGCCGAGGAAATGTCCCGTACTCCCTACGGCGAGGGGAGATCTAGAAGTCAGTATACGGCTAGATAGTGTTCTCGGCTCGCTTGAGTAGTTCTTCCCTGGGAGTACAAAGAGCTGGGGGAATGCTGACCTGCTCGGCGAGTATGTTTGCATGAGGTATGTATGATAGCAAGCGAAAAGAAATAGAAGCAGCCGCATTGTATTGTATCTGAGAAGGCATGATTCGCCGCCCATGAGCCAGCAATATCATACGCGGGCCCTATAGCACTCACCAGATGGGCGGAGACCAGCTCTCATCTCGCAAAAGGTCCAATTGGGTTTTTATATGCACCGCACCGTCTCGATTTGGCGCCATCAGCATAATCAGCGAGAATCGAGAACCGGAGAGACAGGCTGCTATCAAACCTCTGCGGCGACGAGCTGACGAAACGAGACATTGACACTGCGGGACATGTGGTGACTGGTCGTTCCTAACAGTAGCGGGCAATAGCATCACAAAGAACTTGAACGATGATGCAGACAGGTGCGATGGCGATGGCGATCTCTCCGCAGACAAGGCCGATTGCACAGATGAGGATTTCGTCTACACACAACTCAGTGTTCGACATCAGCGAAGAGTTGCCAACCTTCGTAGACAGGTGCTATATTACAGGACGAACAAATGGTGTACCTTTCACAGCGATCGATAAGCGGGGAATATCATACACTGACCAAAATATATCAGTATGGTTCCCGTAGAGTATGAAGACTGAAGCACGTACCTATCATCTGAGAGAGCAGATGAATAAAAAGGTGAATGACATTAAAAAGTTGAACCCGCTGTCAGATTTAGCTGTACGTACCGTGGAAATCCCAGCGAGTCTGAGATCCACGTGAGCCGCTGGTATGTCACACAACAACCAAACTGACGAACCTTTCTCGGATCTGCAGGTGCATGGCTGACATAGCGATTGTTATCCGGTGGGCTATGACAAAGAAATCAGAGCCCGATGAGATGGAGAGAGGCATTGACATCTCACCGTTCCTTCGACTAATATGCGACTGTTCAGACAATAACGCATCTCCGATTTTGACAGCACGCTTACCTTGCAAGACGCTAGCATACTTTGCAGTGTAATACATACGGCACTAACAGTAAGCACCGGGGACCATTCGTTGCCTAGAATTGAAGCGCATATCTGCACCGCCATGTTAAGCCACTCAAGCGGACGAAGGAACCAGATTGCGTACGTGACCGTTGGAGTAAACGTGCTAGAGACACACACAAATCAGGAAACCACGATGTTACAGGTCAGAAGGTGCCACGAACCGGATGAATGGGTGCCTGATTCTCGTCATCTACAACGAACATGACTGCTGGCGGCGTAATTGGATACGAATTGTCGAACACAAAACGGAGAGCGAACTTTTCGCCCTACGTAAATAACCTTAGTGCATAGAGGTAGTTGACTCGGAGAAAACACACACCTCATAGAGTGTATTACCGAGGACTTCTAAGGAGAGAATCCATGTCTGGAAGTCGTCTGCCTTCAGCAGAGCGATTCCTGGCGTATACCGGGCGAATTTCTCAGCTTCCCGCACCCTAAAACGCAATTTACAGCACACCTGTTGGACAACCTGTGAGTTGCAGGTCTCTCAACTCCTTCTGCAACCGCCTGGACATGGAAGAGTGGGCGAGACAAGCACGGGCCAAGCGCTAAAATTGCGATCGCGATGTAGGCACGTGTGGGTGTTCCACTTAGACGCCAAATACCCCTAGCTTAGGGGTATGTGTAAGCCCGACAAGCCGGGTCGTCGCAGGTTGTCCGCACTCCTTCCAGTCTTACTCTCTCCTTCATAACCCGCACACTCAAAATCATGTCTGTAGCAAGATTTGCATTGCAGACGACCTCGTCGTTGAGGCATGTGCTCAGAACGCGGGCAATACCTGTGGCAGCGAGGCACCTGTCCTCAACCGCCCCGGCATATGCTGGCCTGCTTCACGGACACACCCTGGTGACGGCTTCAGCGCGGCGGACACAAGTAACACTATGCCCGGAACGTCCCATGCAATGTACCCGCCTCCTTACATGCTCTCGGCGCGTGCCAGCTGAACATCTTGCTAGATAGATCCATGTTCATCCAAACCGAGACCACACCGAACGAAGATTCGTTGAAGTTCATCCCCGGAGTGCCCGTCATGGAGAAAGGCAGTGCAGAGTTCCTAGACACTCGTTCTGCATTCAAGTCACCACTTGCAATTCATCTCCTGGGCGTCGAGGGCGTTACAGGCGTGTTCTACGGCCCCGATTTCGTCACGGTATCCAAAGACCCGGAGACGTCTTGGGCAGTGATTAAGCCTGAGGTGTATTCGAACCTCATGGAGTTCTTCTCATCCGGCCAGCCTCTATTCCGGTCGGAGGAAGACCGGGCAGCCGCAGGCCCGCAAGATACGCGGATATTGGACACGGACTCTGAGACGGTCGCAATGATCAAGGAACTGCTTGACACTCGAGTACGACCTGCCATCCAGGAGGACGGCGGCGATCTTGAATACCGTGACTTCACTGATGAAGGTATCGTACACGTGAAGCTCAAGGGTAGCTGTCGAGGTTGCGACTCGAGTACGGTCACGCTCAAGAGCGGCATCGAGCGGATGTTGATGCACTACATACCAGAGGTCAAGGGTGTGGAACAGGTGCGTCGCTGCCTATACAGTCGGTAGGCTAATGCTGACTTGTTCTGCAGATCCTTGATCAGGAGGAACAGATTGCTCTCGAAGAGTTCGAAAAGCTCGAGAAAAAACTGGGTCACGAACCAGAGAAGAAAGACGCAAGGTAACGTATCGGCCTTTCAGAATATCGCAATTATTGATGATGTATCTAGCCCACTCGCCCAATACATGTCCGTATGAATTGTGCTAGACACTCGTTCTTGTATCCATAGCTCTCCATCTCCCCCCACTCTTACGCACAATCTACATTTCTGAGCCCCATCGCCCTGATTCTTGATAGAAGACAGCGCTATCTAGCTGTTGAGTACCCGAACATAGACTATATGATTGTACTATCAGTAGCGCACACCGATAGGCATAGGCAGAGAGCCGTCTGGGAAAGAAATGTCTGCGAGGCCAAGCTGACGGCACTTCGAGGGTCGCCTCGACCTTCCTGCGGACAGCAAGCAGCCAGCCAGGTTTTCAAATGATACAGCCAAAGAGATCTGCACTACAATGGATGCATGCAAGCGATTGGTTTCTATGTTACAGTAGTACATTCCTTCTGAGATCTATATGTCGAGATGATTGAAAAGACACCGAGGCATTTACACGCAGCACATAGCAATAAATTAGGCGGCGATGGCGGCCTCGATTTTCTGTTTCTCTTCCTCCGTCTTCGCCTCTCCAATACGCTTCTCTCTGTCCGCCGTAATCTCGTCTAGAATAGTCCTCGCCCCCGTCTCGATGAGGATCTTTGCGAGGCGTGAGCCGACAGCCTCAGCATCTCCGACGCTTGCAACCGTCTCTTCGAGCGAGTGCTGCACGTGGCGGTCTCCAGTCAGCGAAGTGACGCAGCCCGTGATCTTGAGCACTCCGCGCTGCGCGTCGCCCTCCCGCACGAGCTCCGTGCTGACGCCAACGGGAACGCTGCACCCGCCTTCGAGTACGCGGAGGCATGCACGCTCGGCCGCGCAGCGCCACTCCGTCGGCCAGTGCGTGATCGTGCGTAAGAGGGCCTGCGACTGTGCGTCGTCGGCGCGGATCTCGATGGCAAGCGCGCCTTGGCTGACGGCGTAGAAGAGCGTCGGCGGCGTGATATCCGACGAGATGCGGTCCTGCCAATTGAGGCGCAGCACTCCGGCCTTGGCGAGGATAAGGGCGGTATAAGGGCTGTCTTCTGCGTCGAGCTTTGAGAGGCGGGTATTCCTGGGCAAGAGTCAATATGTAGTTCAGCAGGCTGAACGACTGTATGCGTACAAATTGCCGCGCTTTGAATGAGGGATGAGCTTTGATCTGCTAAGCGACATACTTGGCCACTCACAACATCTTTGAAGACTAGCTTGGGGAACATCCTCTTCAGCTGCGCCACTCGTCTCACACTACTTGTTCCTACAACCGATCCCTCCGGCAGCTCCTCCACGGTCTTGTACGACAGACCCTTCCTGACGATGAGTGAATCGACGGGATCCTCGCGCTCGAGCACGCCAGCGATTGCACAGCCCTCGGGAAGGACAGTTGGTACGTCCTTGTAGCTGTGTACAAGCATATCGACGACGCCCTCCTTGAGCGCAACCTCGAGCTCCTTCGTCCAGAGGGACTTTCCCCCGAGGAGGTACAGGGCCTGCGACTGGTTATGATCGCCGCCGGTCGTCATGAACGACGCCTCGAGCTGCGTGGACGGGGACGCGGCCTTGAGTGCATCCTGGACCATGTACGTCTGGATCTTGGCGAGCTGCGAGGCCCGCGACGCGAGCAAAAACTTCCGGTTGGCATCGCCGGACGCTGAGGACATTGTGGCGGGAGGTATGGTGAGGAAAAGACTCAAATGGGCTAACAGGGCTTTTGTGCGTGCTCGGGAGACGGAGAGGCCATTATCGCGCGGAAAAGCAGGCGGTCGGTTCCTCGAAAATCCATCCGGCAGGTGCCGCTTGAACCATTGCCGTCGCGAAACCTCTCAAGGTCGTGGGATAGCGTCGAAGCAAAACATGCACACCGGTACAGACTGTTGATGAAAGTCAAATGTATACAGAGTCGCCTGCATCTCGCAGACAGTCGTATGGAGGACGAAAGTGCTTCAATGGTTTAAGCGCCCATTGAACCACAAGCCCAAGAAAATGGGCAGAGATTGAGGCCTTGAGGGGCGATATCGGTGCTGTAATATCTCTCATAGAGTGCAGGCGAAAGATGTGTTATATTGGAAGAAGTGTTCCTTGCTAAACCACGTTGAAAGGCGGTCGAGTAGCTACACCACTCAACGAAAGATTAACGCAAGTATTCCAGAAGGAATTTCTCTACATCCCCGCGAGCGCCTGCTTCTCCATCTACAAGAATCACGGAAGGCAAGTGACTCTAAAGCAGAGATGAGGAAAATGACATTGTGAAGAACAAGAACGAGCGGACGTCAGGATTTATACTTCAAACTTGTTTGGCGTTATTTGGCTGACAGACTTGACGCCGATGGTATGTGCAGGAAGCGAGCAACTCCTCCCCGATTCGCCTTCTACTCGATAGCTTTGCTGTATACACAGCACGATTTGCTGCCTCTCCGTCACCTATATCGTGGATAATTTGCGGAGAAATTTGCGGATTAGCAGCTGAAGAATTCGGGTCGTGACTGGCGCGTGTGGCAAAAGCGCCTGCACAGTGTCGCCACGACATCCTCGCACCCTACAACATTCGCACCACGCCGCATCTGAATGTGTCTCTAGGCATCGAACAAATATGGTCACCTCGTACACAACTGAGGTGCTGATTATACTAGGTCTGGGACTCTTTGTATTCTGGATATGGTTCCAGGCTCGCGAGAGGCCTTTGCTGCGCTCTGTGGCCATCCTCGTGCTTGGCGACGTCGGGAGGAGTCCGCGTATGATGTATCATGCGGAGAGCTTTGCTGGCCTTGAGTTCGAAACTTATGTGATTGGAAATAAGGGTACGTCGCACTCAATGGTTATGCAGTGCAGGACATGACGCAAGACAGGAGCAACACCCATACCATCCCTCTTGTCGTCTCCCAACGTCCGGTTCTTATACCTCCCCGACCCACCGAAGCCAATACCTGGCGTCCCCTTTGTGCTCTTTGCTCCCTGCAAGATCCTGTTGCAAATATTTCACATACTCGACGCTTTGTTGAACAGGGTACCGCATCCGCCAGAGTTCATTCTCGTACAGGTCTGTTTGGAGCTTCGCATTGATGAATCTGAGAGTCTGATATGTATTTTATTGAAAGTAAGAACCCTCCCAGTATCCCAACTCTTGCGTTGGTCTGGCTGGTCGGCCGCATCCAAGGGATCAAGGTTATCATTGACTGGCATAACCTTGGATGCAGTATCCTCGCTTTGAAGCTTGGGCAGAATCATTTGTTTGTTAAAGTCGCCGAATGGTACGTGCTCAGTTATCACAGGACACGAACGGGAACAGACGGCTGCGTGACAGGTTCGAGTCGTACTTTGGTCGCTCCGCTTATGCGCATCTCTTTGTCACGCGAGCCATGCGCGACTACTTGGTAGAGAACTGGGGTCTTAAGGGCATGAAAACTGTACTGCATGATAGGCCGCCTGCACGCTTTCACAGAGCGGCTCCTTCAGAGACACACCGGGTACGTACCCTGTGCATGCGCTCGCCCGAACAGGACTGAGCCCGCCGAACAGCTCCTCCTCAAGCTTCGACCTTCGTTAGACGTATCCGCCCTTCCTTCCTTCCTTCCGCCCTGCACACCCCCAAACTCAACACCGTTCACACACCTGACTGCAGACGCGCCCATAGACACACTCACGCTGATCGTGGACAGCGCCTTCGACGGCACACCGATGCCACAGAAGCGTTCGGATCGCCCTGCACTCCTCGTCTCGAGCACGTCCTGGACGCCTGATGAAGACTTTGGTATGCTCCTGCAGGCACTGACTCTCTACGAGCACAAGGCCCGCGCAGCGGACGGACGCCTGCCGAAGGTGCTCATGGTCGTCACAGGCAAGGGCCCTGATCGCGCGCGGTACATCCAGGAGGTCGCGGAGCTCCAGGGAGAGGATGGGTGGAGGTATGTGCGGTGTATCAGTATGTGGCTCGAGGCGGCGGATTATCCGATTATGCTCGGTATGATACCCATCTGTAAAGTAATGTGGAGCTCGGACTCATGATATTGACAGGCTCGGCCGACATCGGCATCTCCCTACACTCCAGCTCCTCAGCACTCGATCTCCCTATGAAAGTAGTCGACATGTTTGGATGTGGATTGCCTGTATGCGCTCTCGACTTTGCATGGTGAGCATTAGTCATGCCTGTTTATGTTGTTACTCTGGACTGAAGCGTGTACAGCTTGGATGAGTTGGTCAAAGACGGTGTAAACGGGCTGGTCTTTCGCAATGCAGAGCAGCTTGCTTCACAGCTCGAGGTACTCCGAAAACTCGCCGACTCTATGGCATCGTCTGACGTCTTTTCTCTTCCACAGAGCTTACTAACGGGCTTTCCGAACTGTCAAACCCTCGACTCACTCCGCCGCTCACTCATCCGCAACACACCTATTGAGCCAGGACGCATGGAGCATCTAGGGCTACGCTCACCCGACTCACCGAGCGCGCACACCGACGCACCCGACTGGCCGGGTCATGCTGAGGAACCTGGGGCAGTAGAGGAATGGGAATGGAGCTCGTGGTCGCAGAACTGGGATCGAGTGATGAAGCCGCTGATATTGTCGGATGTATATTGAGAAAAGTCTAGAGATACAGATTAATGTGGAGATACATGATTGACGGGATGCAATGAAGTATGTTTAGCTGCCCGCTGTCGCAGCAAACGTGAGCGTCTCGACGCGACCCTTGCCCTTGCATTCCTTCTGGAGCAGCTCGTTGATGACGCGGAACTGGCCCGGGTCGATGAGCATGATCTGTAGCAATGGCTTCAGAAACGCGACGAGTAAGCGGAGTGTTAAGGTTACGTACCGCTTCCCACTCATCCTGTCCCATCTCATCCTCCTCTACCTTTTCTGCACCCTCGACAATCTGTTCCCGAAGACGCTTGCCATCCTTCGTCGGCATCGAGACACGGACACGCATGCGTGCACGTTGTATGGGCAGCTTCGATTCCGTCTGAAGCAGGCGGATGACCTCCGAGACCTGGCTCTTCGCCGTCTTGCCCTGCTTAACACTGAAGCCTGCCTCTGTCATGGCCTTGTCGATAACGCCGACGGGGTAAGGCCGTTGTGTCTCAGGGTCGACGCATTTCTCTGCTACTAGTGTCGCGATCTCTTTTCGCAAAGCAGAGAGATCATGCTCGCGCTCCTTCTCGCCCACTTGGAGTTCGCCCTTCTTCAAGATCTGTGCCGCCACCATGAATTCAAAACGAAACAATGAGCAGCGACGCACGCACCTCCTTCACGATCTCGTCAGTGTCTGTGGTACTGAAGGCCTTCTGCAGGTCTTGGTGCTTTGCAAGCTCTCCCTTGGAGACGTTTACGAACACGTTTGCAATTTGCAGGACGTCATCAAGGTTCGTCTCGACCCCGTTCCGCCACTCCTGCACTTTGTTCTTGTAGCATGCGATCTGTTAGATTACAGCTTAGCGGCGGGCTTGTAGCCAAGAGGTAGACCTTGATACCTCGAATCGCTTTCCCCCCTTCTTTAGACGGACGATAGATACGTTCGTAAGTCTGAGAACGTCGGGGGCACCCGTAAAGATCTATGCAGCAGCAGAGTGAATAGGCTGCGCACTTAATTTGGCCTGAGGGCTGTTGAATGGGCATCCTGGGCAAAGTGTTCTCACCGTATGTAATCCCCGAGTGTCTGTCGTCGTCGTCAAATAGGTCGTCCAAGTGCCGGTACCGTCGCAAACGAGTCGAATGAAGTCAGCTCTAAGATTAGCCTATAACAAGAAAAACGGCTGGCAATGTGTGGAGGATAAGTCCTTGCTACGGCAATTTGTAAAATAATTATAGAATCAACACCGCCATGCCGGTCGCACAGCCGATACTCGACTCCTGCTCTCGCAGCTCTCCTCCGTAAATCCCCCATCGTCGTTCCTGGTCGCGTACATAGTACTGTAATACTAATATTTCAAGGATGAAAGGCATCGGCAAGGCGTTCGCACGGTGAGCAGCACATCGGTCATCCGCTCTCGAGCTGCTATAGATCGTGGTGGGATTTAGGACGCCGCACATGATAACGAGCAAGGTCGGCCTGTCGAAGAGTACGTCCTATGCTCTGAAAGCCGTGCGCCGGCGAATGTCCATCTATACCCACCTGTCTTTCTCGTGACTTGCAGAGTCGAATGATCCCGAATTCGACGACTATAATCGCAGGTTCTCTACTCTCGAGTCCGCAGCGGAAAAGCTCCTAAAGGATACTAAAGCTTTCGACGACGCGGTGACGAACCTATTCTCGTCGGGAGCCGGATTCTCCAATCACTTCGCTACGCTATTCCGTCCGCTCAACGGAGAATATGATATCTTGCGCAAGTTCCCTGAGGCGGAGCACACGGTCAAGAACGTCGACCAATACGAGAGCCTCATGGATGAGCTGAAGAGCGCGGTCGTGCCTGAGCTAGAGCTTATCCAAAGCAGAGTCATGGGACCGGTGAAAGAACTGCAGGGCGTCATGAAGCTGGTTCGAAAGAGCATCACCAAGCGTGAGCACAAGGTGCGTGCGCTTACATAGAGTGTGGCGGCCAGCTAATGGGGCGACTACGTTAGCTGACGGACTACGATCGCTACAACAACTCTCTCACGAAGCTGAGGGACAAGAAGGAGAAATCCTTGAATGACGAGAAGAATTTATTCAAGGTCCGCCTTTTCTCCTCGCCTTCGTTACCTCGCTCTCAATGACATGTTTCCGTAGCTGGAACAAGACTTTGAAATCGCATCGAACGAGTATGACTATATCAACACCGCCCTCAAGACCGATCTGCCGAGATTCATGCAGATGGCCACGCAATACATTGACCCATTGTTTCATTCCTTCTTCTACATGCAGTACGTATCGTCATTGAGCTGAACGAAGACCGCAGCGCCACTCACTCTTGGACGATCTAGGCTAAACATATTCTACCTACTACTGGAGAAGTTGAACGGCTATGCTGAGAGCGCTCAGTACGATGTCTCTGTCCCTCCTGCCCAGGTTGCCATAGACTATGAGGCTAAGCGCACCGACGCCTGGTCTCGCATAGAAGAGCTCAACGTCACTAAGAGGTTTACCAGCACATGTAAGCTACTCCTACTATACGTATTGCTCGAACGCCAATTGTTCTACGTCTATAGCGAAACTCGTTCAGCAACGTCGTGTGGAGTCTGGTAGCGGCACGCCGAACCTCAACCGCGCTGCCTCTTCTGCCACGACTTCCTCGACCAATTCGCGCTTAGCGCCGCCGGTTCGCGGTGCCTCTTCATACGAGAAGAAGTCTCCTCCACCTCCTCCACATTCGTCGTTCCCTTCTACTGCGCCCCCACCATACACTCCTGGTCCCACGGGCGCGAGCTTCACGGCAACGAAGAAAGCACCGCCTCCACCCCCACCACTTAAGCCCAAGCCCAAAGCCGCAGAGCCCGAGAAGCAATACGTGGTTGCATTGTACGATTTTGAAGCACAGGCCGACGGCGATCTCGATTTCAAGACTGGCGATAGGATCGAGGTTGTAGAGCGGACTGGGAGCGCGGAGGACTGGTGGACTGGTCGGCTTAGGGGACGGCAAGGTGTCTTTCCTGGTACGTACACACCCTAAAATATACGTTGCGCCGGCGGCGGTTGCTGACCGACCCGGAAGGCAACTATGTTCAAGAAGCGTAGAGTTTGCGCCGCTAAGTATAACAGAACTTCGGATGAACATTTGTATCTTACGCTACATGTGGAATCGGTACCCTTCTTCGTAACTGGCTTCGGCCTGCACGGAACAGTGAAGCTGCTTTGGAAGCGTGTGTGGCTTCCGCTCTGACGCGGGGACGACCATGCGGAGACTTTTTTTCCTCCGACTCAGCATGAAACTTTATGCCAGATTGAGTATGGTGCGCACCTCCAGCGTGTACATCGTACAGTATACACATCTTGACGCTCCGTCAGAGCATGTTCCTCCGTGGCTCGGAAGGGCGACCCGCCCGCCTTACTATGCATAGCCGCCAGCTCCGGTTCGGAACTGAGCCGGATACCGAATCCTCGCATGCAGAGCCTGTCCCTGGTAACCCACAGCTGAGGTTACATCCCATCTGTGTAGATGTTCAGATATTGATGTACCTTGTCAGCTGTGCGGCGGCTCGTTTAAACAACGTGCTGATCTTCCGAGCTCGAGGACAGCGCACAGGGTTGTGTGTCCTGTCCACCGAGAGAAGCTGTCTCGAGCTGTGCTCGCAAAGATGCGCCAAAGTTCTGAGCCTCTGCCGTACCGCTGACGCTCCTGCGGAGCTTCTCCCGTGCCTCGGGCGGGTTTTTGTCTCCTTTGCACGTGGACCTATATGCAATGAGGGCTTTCACCACTGATCCTTGGTCACACCGCGCGTTGAACTGCGATCTCTACTCGTAATTGCTGTTAGGCGGCAATGATCGCGTAGTGAAGATGGCCCGACCTCCAATATTCTAGACTGTGAGTATCTAACAGTTGCTACGGGCTGCGCAAGAAAGAGACACTGGAGTGGACATGTTGCAGTGGCGTCCATGTCAGCGGCCATACAGCTCCTCGTGCGGGATGCATTGGTTCTAGTGGCCTCGTGTCGGGATCACCACAGATTATCGAGTACTGAGCGTTTCTTCGCAGACGCCGCGGAAACTAGCGAGTATCGGTGTAACGTACAGTTCTGATTTGCGGAAGACTGCCGCCCAGCGTCAAGCGCACCAGTGCAGGGTTTATTTAAGGGATGTCCCTGGCTGGTCGCGGGCCACGGCTGTCAATGGCTTCCATCCTACCTCCTGCAGGAGAGCTGCTCGGGCTCATTCTACAGACCCTTTTGTACGGTGAGCCAGAATATTCGGGCATGTTCCGTTCTCTCAAATTCTCATGCTGCGATCAGGGGCATACCTCATCTTGTACGTCGCTTCGCTGTACTTCCTGTATGGCGGGAATTTCGATACAAAGCGTCGCGGGCGGAAGTCGCCAAACAAGGCGGTCTTGTTAGGCGGCATCGCCCTCCTCCTCACTGCCACTCCGGTCAGTCCTTGTCGGTCTTTCGATCAAGCTCCAAGCTCATGTAGTTCGGTAGCAATGGATCATTCAAGTCGTCCGTGTATGGACGGCCTTTATCAATCATGCGGACACGCCGAACGGGCCGTTGCTGTATCTGTCTGACCTCAGAGCACCACTTAGTATCGCAAGGTTATCCCTGTATGTGGTAGAAGTCTTCGTGTCCGATTTAATTCTGGTATGTCCGCTCTTCCGTAGCAGACGTTCTGAGTATATTGATAGTGTCCAAGATAGCCCGGCTGTGGATTGTGTGGGGGCGTGATTGGCGTATTGCAGCTGCACCTGTCTTGACCTGGGTGGGCTTGGTTGGTACGTGCCGCCATGTCGTGCCTTAATGCCTGCTCACATTCCTCCAAGTGTGTGGATGCATGTACACCTATGAAATTAGTCGTCTGCCCCCAGGCGTTAACTTCTTTCGGTCCAGTTCCGGTGCGCCGCTGCTCCTCGTTCATACTGTGCTATTCGCTAACAATGCCATAGCCAACTGGGTAGCAGCTGGTCTTGCTCTGACGTTGTTGTAAGCACGGATGACGAAACTTCCACAGCGACGTAACATTGACCGACCGAAAAGTACAAATTTTTACTGCACAGGTCAGCATACTGTCGTCCACGGCTGGACCTCACTGAACAGCTCCTGCAATATTTAGGACTCCTCTCGTGGAAGATTTGGTCAAGTCAGCGCGCGGTCCAGCGTGCGCTGTCAGGCGGCTATAAGCCGTCAACTGCGAGGGTAAGAGTTTATCTAAGCCCAACATGTTCAGCCCTGGAATAAACCATCGTCTTCTAGCGGATCCTTGCCACACTCATTGAGAGCGCAGCCCTATACTCGTAAGATCTACCAATATTTCCTGATATCTCCGTGGTTCTGAGGACGCGACAGTGTTGCAAGCTTGATCATCGTGATCGCCTACTTCGCCCAGTCTTTTGCAAGTTTCACCTGTATCAGCTTGGTGCGTCTGAGCCTTCTCCCGCACACGGCCGGCAGCTAACAAGATCCGATGCCTTTTAGATGGCTCCGCTGGTTGGCATCTCCTACTGCCTCATCATTGTGCGCTACGGCATGGACGGCGCTTTCAGAAACACTGCCCCTATATCGTCGGTCCGATTCTCTCCACAAACTGAGAATGCTGGGAACAGTACATCGCACAGCACAGCAGAGGAGAGCTATGCTATAAAAACATTCTCTACCGGCGGGGTAACGCAGACACATGATATGGGAGAGCCGTGCTTGGATGGGAAACCAGATAGCGAGCATACCGCGGTGTAGGTTGGATGTTCTCACATATGTTAATTGGGCTTAGTATTGCAGCTCTCGTCTCCCGGATACATATGGCGCTTCCTCACTGTCTTCCGAACCCAGTATCGCGAAACCACGAGCCTCATATCGTTACCAAAGACGCTCGATGGGAACTGAGGCAAGTACGGCACAGCGAACCAGCCAGGGTATCAGCCGTGCAGTCCTGCGGTCTCCTTGGGCTGACAGTGACGTGGACAGTTAAACAATAAATCAATAGTAATCTGTTGTCGTAGACACCATTCACGGTACGCGACGTATTTCAGAACCTTATTCCTAAGTAGGATATAGTAATCATTGATCTCGGGTGTATAAGGCGGTGCGGCCGAGTACGACGCGCCCGTCGTCGGCGACGAGTTTCTTGCCCCCGACGATGGCCCAAATCTCGCCTGCCGTCGCTGAACTTCTCGGACTAATATTAGGAACGTTGTTCTATGGTGCGTTTATCGCTCTCTGACCTGTGTGAACGTTGAGCACTTGAAGCTGTGTTTAGGCGCGTATGTCGTGCTCGTCGTTCTATATTTCCTAGTAGGCAAAAGCCGGAAGCGAAGAGGTGCCACGACGAGCAAGTCGACGCTCACAGTCATTATTGTCAATATCCTTCTATTTTTTACTGCTACTGCGGTGAGCGTCGCACGAGCGCGTGAACCCGACCTGGACTGACGTGAGAATTTAGCAATGGATCATCGAAATTATCCGAACCTTCATCGCCTTCATCGGTCGCAGCAGGGAACCTAACGGGCCGCTTCTGTATCTGTCATTGCCGACCAATGGTCTGAATGTCGCACGCCTGGCGCTATACTTAGTCGAAACAGCCGTATTGGCTAACTATAGGATGGTATACCTTCCATTTCTACAGGCTCCTGCAACGATTTCATGTCTGCACGTACTAGGTATATCGACTCTGGTTGGTGTGGCATCGCAAGTGGCTAATTGCCGCGCTACCTATTTGCACATACTTTGCCAGCGTAGGTACGCCTAGTCAACCCACCTTTTGTCCAGGATTTCACCAGCGTTTCAGTCTGCGGAGCGATGTCTGTCTACCAGGTGCACAGGCTGACTCCGAACGAAAACCTTTTCGAGCTCTCCAGTGGTAGTGTGTGGTTTATTATGCTGCACGGCAGACAATCGAAAAGCGATTAACGGACTCACAGCACCTTGGTTTGCGTCTACTCTGACCTGCACCATTGCGTAAGTCTCATTCATTCAACACGTCCGCAGTTATGCAGACAGCGTTGACGTAGTACGCTAGTACGAGTGGATACTGTTCAGGTGCATCCTCTTGTTATAGAACGGCTAAGCGACAGCTCACTGGCTCGCAGCGTTGATATCCTACAAAATCTGGAGCACACAACGAGCAGTGAGACGCGCTCAGACGACATACCCGCACTCTACAACAACTTCGGTATGTATGCTGCTTCCTGCCGTTCTCAAACTGACTAGGCGCACCACAGAGAATTGTGGCTATTGTCATCGAGGGCGCTTTACTATTCACGTGCGTCCACGAGTTTTATATCTGCTGTCGCAAGCTAATGATATTCCGGTCCGCGCTAGCGCATCAAACGCAACCGTCATCATTACCTACTTTAGCCACTCGTTCGCGATGTTTACCTGCATGGATATTGTACGCCTTTGATGGTCCAGTGCGGCTTGAGCTAACCTGTTCGCAAGGCGACCCCACTCACTGGCCTTGCCTTCTGTTTAATCCGGATTGTCCGTTTCGGCCTGGGCGGGACCTTCGAAGCCGACAGACCAATGCTGCACACCTTAGATCTTCGCCGATCGGAATTTTCGCGCTCAAATGCCAGTCGCATCGCCGTCATGGAGCCAGTGGCCATCAAGGACGCTACTATCGAAGCTGTCGCGAAGACGCCTCGGACGAATGCACTGCACCATCCCCAGACCCACCCGCATAATTTTACCTAATTCTGTAGTGTAGTGGCTTATTATGGACATATTTTTAAGAAATATTATATGCCATACGAACTGCTGGAAAGGTGACCGGTGCGATGGGCCAAACCTGACGCTCGCCCGCCGCCCGACTGTTGATTACTTGAGTTGCCAAATACGGTCCCGCGCCCCGTGCTTCCCGAAATGGTCAACCTGTCGCACGGCGGCGACGAGAACCACAACAGCCGAGTCCTTCAGAAATTTACGCTCATTAACACATCCGCCATCTTCAAGAAGAGGCTGCTCGATTTACAGCACGAACCCGCCGACCCTACTTGTGGGAATGTATCCCGCCGCGCAGGGAGAGGTTGTGAGATTAGACTGTACTCTCCGGTTTTTCTGGTCCCCCCCGGGACCCGCGCCGAGCACAGCGGACGCAAGGAGCGCAGCGGGAGGGGAATAAGGGCATGTGAGTGTCACGATGGCTAGCAGTGGACAGCATGGCTCTTTCATGGCCGTCTGCGCCTCAGCCTGCTATCTCCAGCTTGGTGCATCGCTTCTGTCCTTCGCAGCGTGCTGTTAGCTTATTAGGTCTCGACTGGTTGACTCGCAGCTAATTCTGCCTCGATGCTCTTGCAAGCAACATGGTATGACCATAATATATAAAGCGACGTATTGCTGATAGATCGAAAAGTAGAAATATCCGGGACTGTGTAGGTGAGTGTACCACTGTCTGCGCCTTGTGCTTTTTGGATCATAATCATGATCAGAGCATCTCTCGTGGAAGTTTTGGGCAATACTGCGCTACGATGGGCGATGAAATGGCGTGGGAGTTCGACTGCGAGGGCGAGACTTCCAAACTCTACGTGCCCGGTCTCTTGACGACAAGCCGTCATTCCCGGCATTTTGTGGTCGCTCACATCGAGTGTGCAGCCCCGCACGCGTACTTATTCTTCCACATATCAGAGGTTCTTTGATGACAAGATGATTAACGTCCCGTACTTCGTCCAGTCCTCCTGAAGTTTCAAATGCGTCGGCTTAGTGGGCCCGTATCGGTCCCTTGTGCAACGTCAATATACCAATGGCTAACAACAGCTCATGCTTGATGCTTCTTAGATGGCACCATTGATTGGTATAGCCAACTGTCTGATGGCAATAGTCCCCGGTATGAGCAGCGCATTCGGAGGCTATTTTCAGCATATAAGTCTGGTACGTACAGAACCCTCACTCTGCCTGCGAAGTAGACTGAACCGAGCCTCAGGAAGTGACATGAGTCTTACCATTTCCGAAGAAAGTCGTCGAAGGGTCAGACAAGTGCGGATTCAATGAATCAACCTGATCTTCAGCTGCGCAGTTCTGTGATCTACTCTGAGAGCCGAGCATTAGACACCTTCTGCGGTATCATTTTGATGAATGCGCGCAGAAGCCAAACTGTTTTCGTGAGAAGGACAGGAATCAGCAGTCTGAGCATCATGATATATGAGACAGCTAGGCGGAATACAATGCTTCCATTTTATAGCACAGGCCTCTTGCCCTCGACAATGGCTCAAATCCTATCCACCACCGCTCAGCTTCTAGAAATGGTGTTACAGGCACTGCTTTATGGTGCGTCCGCGTCAATAACTCTGCTTTGAAGTCGGGCGAATGCTGAGTACAGGATATGCCTAGGCGTGTACATCGTGTTATTCGTCCTGTCGATGTACTTCCTGGCAGGTGACCGGGACCGTAAACGTAGTGGCGCAGGGATGAACGGGTCGATGATTTTGATTATCATTGGCAATATCCTTCTGTTTGCTACCATCACCGCTGTGAGTATTGGTGACGCGTTTGCGTATTATCCGGAGTGACACATATATTAGCAATGGATCCTCGTAGAGATCCAGGGCTTCATAGGCTTCATCGGTCACGGTAGTGAGCCTAACGGACCCTTTCTGTACTTGATATCCATATTCGACGGTCTGGCTGTCGCTACCTTGGCTCTATACATGGTCGAAACGGCTGTAGCTGACTTCATCATGGTGAGTTCCTCCGTGCTAACCAGCTCCTGCAATAAGTTTATCTCTACACCTGTACATACAGGTGTATCGACATTGGATAGTGTGGCAACGCAAGTGGATGACTGTGACGCTTCCTGCCTGCACATATTTTACCGCTTTGGGTATGTCAGCCCAGTGCATCCATTGTTCTCAAATTCATTGGGATTTCAGTCTGTGGAGCGATCCTTGTCTACCGCATGCACGGGTTGACCACAGATGAAGTCTCCCTCGTCAACTCCTCCTGTGGTGTGGTTTTATACAATGCACCGCAACAGGCAACTCAACGGTGGCCGGCGGATGCATAGCACCTTGGATCGCCTCTACTCTGGCGTGCAATGCTACGTACGTCCTGTCATCTTGCCTCTACATATATGCATTTCATGTTGACGTGGTACTAGTACGAACATATACTGCTCAAGTTCGATTAGAAGAAGCTCACTCGATTGCAGCGTTATTATCCTACAAAGTTTGAAGTACAAATCAAGCAGCGAGGCGCGTCCAAACGATTCACTTATGCTCTACGGTGGCTTCGGTATGTTCATTGTAGTCCCCTGGGTTCTTAGGCTAAATGAACATATTACAGAGAGTCGTGGCTGTTGTTATCGAGAGCGCTTTGCTTTTTACGTACGTCTTTACAGTTTATGTCAACGGTCGCAAGTTCGTAATGCAATGCATGCCAGCACGGCGAGTGTGATAATCATGATCACACGCTTCGCTCGTTCGTATGCGGTATTTATCTGCACAAGCGTTGTACGTTCTTGGTGCTGTATCTCAATTTGCGCTCACCTCATCGGAAGGCCGCCCCACTCGTTGGTCTTGCTTACTGCCTCGTCATCGTTCTTTTCGGCTTCCGTGGTGCCTTCAAGACCGACAGGCTTGCACTGTCCTCCATACAGCTTTCTCCACTGCAATCCCCGCATTTAAATGCTGTCGCCAAGCCAGTACTGACTATCGACATGACATACAGACCGGACAATACCGGGATAGATGACATCGATCCTCATGCTGCGACGATACCCCAGACGGAAGCACATCACCCTCTTTATACTTGATCCTCTTGTCGTACTTGACTCTATGGTCGACTGAGGCCATTAATACAGCATTATCGCTTCGGAATACCCCGAGGCAGGTCCGAGCGCACGAGACCACTCACCACAACTATTTACTGTCGCAGTCAAGACTACGTCCTTGCGGAAGCTACTGTGAGTAGACGGCACGAATGCGCTCACGCAACCCATGACTTCCGATCTGTGTGCGTCCTAGAGCACATGCGCGACGTCCAAAATACCTTGGTGGAACTGTCTGAGTGGCTTGGGCAGACTTCTCGTAGTGTCCCCTGAGCATTCGAAGATTGGATTCAACGCGTTAGGCAACGGATTCTTTCGGTCCTGCTCCGGTACGTCGTTTCCCCTCGTTTGTACTGGGCCAATTATTTACGGTGATGTTACAACCGACTAGATATAGCAGGTGATCTTGCTTTGAGACTACCGTAACAGATCGCGAAGCATTTGGGCGGGATGTCGCCAAAGAGTTGAGAAATACGAGCATCTCTTGCACGGGTGAGCTAACCGCCATTTCTACTTTGGACTATAGGCGATTATTCTTATGCTTAGGATATGTCTCATGGGAGATCTAGTTATGTGAAAACGTGCCCGGACCTTGTAGGCTGTCAGCGCATCAGTCTGTTAGGTTAAGACCTCTTCGGACTCAGGATATCTGGCCATTCGACAAAGCACACGCCTCCCTCAGCAGAGGGTCCTCCCCACTCTTATCGAGGGCATAGCTTGGCACATATATGCCATCCCCGTTTTCTAATCTTTTCTGCGCTCGACAGTGAGGCTGTATCTTAAACCTAATTCTCGTCGTCGCCCACTCCGCCCCGGCAGTCTTGTGCGAGCTACGCGGGCATCGGCTTAGTGAACATATGTCTGCTCTCCGTATAAGGCTAACAGTTGACAGAATTTGATGCTTGTCAGGTGGCTATACTAGTTGGCATAGCCCACGTCCTTATGATCAAGCTGGTCGACATGGCCGGTGTCCCTTGAAGGCGTGCCCAAAGGAAAACTGACTGCGGGTGCACCATGGTGCAAGTAAGTACTACGATCTCCTGTCAACCATCGATCTCATTAATCTTCGTGTCAGGTAGTAGTATATGGCGCGCAATTTGGACGCGGGTGGGTCTATAGCCGTTGTCAATCGTGGCCCAAGGGCTAAGCCGATAATGGTCACCGCCCGACTGAACAGCAGCTTGGCGCGGCCGGCTAGCAGCCAACAGGCCGAGCCGTGGAGACACTAGCGTCAAGGCATCCTGTAGCGTATAAGAGGTCGCAACGGGCGAGGTCGCAGCGGGCTACGACGCCCGACAATGGCTCAAATCCTCCCCACTACCGGCTACCTTCTCGGACTAGTGTTGGAGACTCTGATTTATGGTTCGTCAGTGGCCCTCCTCGCAGCCGGGCGGATGCTAAACACAGGATATGCTTAGGCATGTATATTGTGCTGTTCATTCTCTCCATGTATTTCCTAGTGGGAGACGGAGGACGGAAGCGCAGAGACACCGGGATGAGCAACTCGATGCTCCTGATTACTTCCGGAAATATTCTCCTGTTTGTCACCATCTCTGCTGTAAGCGCCACAATAGTGTCTGTACCTTTCTGGAGCTCACATAGAACGCTAGGAGTGGATTATAATCACTATTCGGAGCTTCGCAGGTTTCATCGATCACGGCAATGAGCCCGACGGGCCACTTCTATACTTCAGCTCGTTAATTGACGGCACGACTGCTGCTGCCATGTCTCTAGGCGTAGTCGAAACAGTCGTAGCCAACTTTGTAATGGTATGTATCTTCCGTATGTTGACGACCTTTTGTAATAGTTTCGTGTCTGAGCACAGGTGTACCGACTGTGGATAGTGTGGGAACGTAAGTGGTTGATTGTGGCATTACCTGCCTGCACGCTCCTCGGCACCCTGAGTACGTCGCGTTGACCCGTATTTAACTCACGCTAGACTCATCAGCATTTCAGTCAGCGGAGTGGTCTTTGTTTATCGCTTGCAAGAGTTGATCCCGAGTGAAAACTTCTTCGAGTCCCCCTGTGGTATGGTTCATAGCGATAGACAAGCAAATTGATATCGTGACTGACAAATGCACAGCACCTTGGGTCGCCTCCTGTATGACATCTTCTGCTGTGTACGTCTCGATTGACGCTTCCGAGGAAGTACATTCGACGCTGACATGGAACTAGCACGAATATATACTGCTCGGGTGGGTCTTACTACTTGATTTCGAACCGATATCCACTCACTTGGCAGTAGGGCTATTAGCGTATAGAGTCTTGAGGACGCAACGAGAAGTTAGACGCGCTCAAACGACGTACCTGCGTACTACAGTGACCTCGGTGCGCATCACTCGGTCAACCAAGTTCTCTAACTGACGAAGTTTTTTTTTTTTCAGAGGGTCGCAACTATAATCATTGAGAGCGCTCTACTGTTCACGTACGCTCCTACTGTTCACATCTACGGTCACAGATTCAATGATATGATAATTCGTGTAGCGTCTCAAGTGCGACAGTTATGCCCGCTTATTTTGCTCATTCGTTCGCATTGTTCACCTGCATGGGCGTTGTGCGTATCCGGCATTCTATCCTATAAATACTCCGCTAAATCATCGAAAGGCTGTTCCACTCATTGGCATTTCCCATTGCCTCATTATTGTTCGTTTCGGCCTTAATGGGGCCTTCAGGACTGGCAGACCAGCGCTATCCTCCATTTACCTTCCTCCACTACAGTCCTCGCGCTCTGCTCCCATCGTAAGTTCGGCTGATATCGATAGAAAGGGACAGCCGTGACCGAAGTAGCATAAATAGGTTAAAATGTACGCCCTTATAATCAAGATGTCCGCCTCTCAGCCGTAGGCTAATAGTACGAGCCCATCGGAGTCGCGATCGGATCTATAGCACCACCAAATAAACTCATCGGAAATTGTGGCGTGCATCGCACAGATCGGTTCGGTACGCCACCTCGGCGGTCTTTGAGTTGGAGTCTCCGAGCTGATACTTGAGTCGATCGATGAGAAGAAGGTGCGATCGAACGGGATATCCTTGTGTTCCATACGAGGCTCGTGTGAAGCGTCCTCAGGTGTTTTCACGCTTTCCTTGATATTTGCATGGCTTTGACGACACGCTAACTCTCGCTCAGCTAGTCCCTCACAACTTTCACATGCATCAGTTTGGCGGAACTATGCAGGCGGTCGATGACGACTACTAGTACCGTTGATAGCACGTGCACCTCGTGTCTCTTGTATGGAGCTACTGGTTGACAGTCTACCGTTTGACCACACTACGGCGTGGATGGTGCTTTCATCCTCTGCTCGTAAGCCTGGTACGTATATGCTTCGCTTTCCATCTTCCGGCAGGGTTGAGCCAAGCCTCACGGGGGTGCGGGTCTCATGCCATTGTCAGTGAGAGCTGAGACAAGGGTATCTCGGCGAGTCCATGTGGTTTTCAGCTGCGTAAACCTGCGATCTCAGACCTGACAGTTTGACGTTCAACGTTGATGTTGGTGTCGTCAATATCTTCTGTGGTATCATTGATGTTCATCTCAGCATAAGGGTCTTGTTCATTCATTCGTTCCCGGATAGATGGAAATCACTGATGCCAATATCAGGATATATTCGTAGCTGATAAGACAATGCGGTGGAGGCTTGGCGCTCTTATCCTCTCACTGAAGTGTTCGCTCTCGACAATGGCCCAAATCTTGCCTCACACCGCTGCCCTTCTTGGGACAGTGCTAGAGTCACTTTTCTATGGTATGTTAGCGACTCATCTCAAGAGTAGATTGAATACTAAGTGCATCATATACTTAGGCGTGTATTCTGTGTTCTTTGTTTTGTCAATGTATTTCCTAGTAGGCAGCAGAGACCGAAAGCGGCCCAGAGGCTCCAAAATGAACACACCAATGCTCTTGATAACTGCCGCTAATATTTTTCTCTTCGCCACCATCACTGCTGTAAGTACTGCCAGTGTAGGACCGTCTGAACCCCCTCTGAGCTAATTGATAATATTAGCAATTCGTTTCTCGAACTATCACTACCTTCAACGGTTTCATCGGCCATGGCAGCGACCCCAACGGGCCCCTGACATACTTCACATCATCCGAAAATAGCAGTCCGCAGATTATCATTTTAGCTTTATAATTGGTTGAGATATCCATAGCTGACTTCATAGTGGTATGCCCCTTCTCTGTTTTCGGCAGGCTCCCGCAATGCTCTGATTTCGACGTGCAGGTTTATCGACTCTGGATCGTGTGGCAACGCAGGTGGCCAATCGTGATACTACCCATTTGCACGTATCTCGCCAGCATAGGTACGGCTTCTCAGTTCGTCTTTTGTCTGTGGACTTACCAGTGTTTGAGGCTTCAGTCTGTGGAGCGATCTTCACCTATCTCGAACATAAGACGGTCCCAAGTGTAAACTACTTCAATTCCCTCTTTGGTACAGTTCTTTGAGACATATGACAGCATACTATTAGTCGCTAATGGACATGCAGAGCCTTGGGGTATTCCTGCTATTGCATGCACTGTTGCGTACGTCTCACCGACCTGGCTTTTATACAAGCAGACATTTAACATTGGTGCGGGATAAGCACTAATGTATATTGCTCAAGTACGTGTTCTTGGCGAGAGTCCTTTTAGAACCAATTCACCGGCCTACAGCATTTTTATCGTACAAGATCTGGAGCACACATCGGGAAGTGAAGTGCGTTCAAATGACATACTTGCGCTCTGCGGTAGCCTCGGTGTGTATAGCTCGTCCCCCTCCCGATCCGTCATACATGAGCTGACCACATACGTTACAGAGAGTTATAGCTATTATTATTGAGAGTGCTCTATTGTTCACGTACGTTTTCGCTGATCATCCATCATATCTCTGTTATGATGGGCATGGTGGCGTGGGATATCATTTCCTTTTTCGTCTCTGACTCTAGTTTAGTAGTACAGCCTTCGTCGACTCATAGAGCACAGCTCCACTGACTCACCCGCAGTCCCTTTGACTAGTAGACTAGTCCTTAGGTTAGGATGAGCAGTAGTATATATACCCCGCGCATGTACAGTAGAACTTCAGCTTTCAGCTCTTTCGTAAATTCATGTTTCTTTATTCTGCTCTAACCTCATCTGCGGATAAGGCGATCAGACAAGCCTCAGGCTTGCTAAGAAACCTCTGTCATAACATTAGCTGAAAGCTTCTCAACAAGGCGGACCTAAGACAGGTCTACGCCACGAAGAATAGTCAAGACGACTACTCCACAAGCAACTGGGGTGAATGACTGCGCCACAGCAGCACACAGACATAACCTTAGGCCTGAAAATAGGCACAACTACCATTGATACGACGAAGGACATTGGAGACGTTGTTTTCAACAACTCTGCCCCAACTGATACTACGCATATCAAGGAACAGTACAAGTACCACAAGGACTCGTCCTCTGCGAACCAGCACAAGAAGAATTCATTCGAGAAAGGGACAGGCTTAACAAAGAAGCCAGGCTTAGAGAAGAACAAGCCCAACAAGCAACTCAACTATCTGCCAGCGTACCACCATCCAGACCACAGACACCACACCCATACGATCAATCTCGCAGACATAGCCGAGCACCCAGCAGAGCAGAAACCTCTACCTCTATTGAAGTAGATGACGAAACACCAGAAGTACAAGGATCACTTCAGGTACCAGAAATCAGACTCAAACCATTCGATATTCCCTTCCCGAATCTCGACGTACCTATCCCACCTGAATGACAGGAAGATCTAGAAACTCTTCGCAGTGAGTTTCTCACACGCAGGGCCCGGCTTCGACTGTCGGGCGCGCTTGAGGCTAGCAGAACGGACCCTCAGTCCGTAGCTCAGAAGAAGGGAAGTCTCTGAGATGTATTTACCTAGCAGAACGGACGCTCAGTCCGTACTGCAATACAGTCAGTACCCTACAGTGTCCATAATGAGAGGATATACGCACGCTCAGAAGAAGGGAAGTCTCTGAGCATGCACGACAGGGAAAAGCAAGTAAATAAGGAAAGCGGCAGGTGCCTTAGCAACTGGTGAGTCAGGAACAAAATAACGAACGCACTATCTAATAAAATACTGTCCAATAGGAATCTGAGTCATCCCGAGACATGTGCGTGCAAGCGCACGAGCCCAAAATCCAACACTCCCCCTCAAGCCTTTGCAAGGCCGAGGGCGGAAGCAAAGTGCTTGGCCTTCATAGACGGCAGAGCCTTTGTAAGGGTATCAGCGACCATGTCCTCGGTAGGACAGTAGGTGACGACGAGGTTGCCGGACTCGATGTGATAACGAATAAAATGGTAACGAATGTCGATATGTTTCGTCCGAGCGTGAAAGCGGTCGTCCTTTGCCAGGGCGATCGCGCTCTGATTGTCCGAGTAAATAGTGGTCGGGTCGAGCGGCATGCGCCACACCTCACAGAGGTAATTGCGCAGCCAGAGGGCTTGCTTTGCGGCATGCGAGAGCGCAACGTATTCAGCCTCTGAGGTCGACTGCGCGACGATGTCTTGGCGCTTCGAAGACCAGGCGATTGCGCCGCCAATGAGGAACGCGTAGCCTGAGACAGCCTGACGGCCCTCGGTTGACATCCCGTCTGCGTCCGAATAGCCCACCAAGGGCTCCGTGTCATCGCCGCCGAGTGTGAGCGCGAGATTGCACGTGCCCTTCAGATAAGCGTACACGCGCCGAAGCGCATTCCAGTGCTTCAAGCCGGGGTTTGCAGCATAGCGCGCGAGTTGCGAGACTGCGTATGCAATATCAGGTCGAGTTGCGACTGCGGCGTACATGAGGGCGCCGAGAGCCTGGCGATAGGGCTTGTGGCGCATGGTTGCAACTTCGGCCGGTGTCAATGGACAGTCCTCTTTGGACAGCCGCAAGTGCGGGTTCATAGAGAGAGCAAGCGGCTTCAGGTCCTCGAAGTTGTAACGACTGAGGATCTGATCAATATACGCGCCTTGCGAGAACGAAACCGTATGCTTCTCGAGATCTCTCGAGATCTCCATACCCAAGAGCCAATGAAGCTCTTCGAGTGGCATTGCCTGAACGCGTGCGTCGATCTTGCTGCTCATCTGCTGCAGTACTCTCTGGTCCGGCGCAATGAGGGTGAGGTCGTCGACGTGCGAGGAGATAATTGCAACATGATCTCCAGGCAGATGGTGGAAGAAGACGGCGTGATCATGTTCAGAGCGTGTGAGACCGGCGTCAGCCATAATGCCGCGCAGAACGAGAGCCCAGCGTCGGCCCGCCTGCTTGAGCCCGTAGATGGCGACCTTAAGACGAAGTATTTGGCCAGGCTTTAAGCCTTTGAGAAGAACACCTGGTGGAGGACGCATAAGATAACTTCGTCGTTCTTGAGTAGTCC